GGTGGAGAAGGCATGGGCAGGATCCTGGCCAGCCCAAGGGACAGCTGCCTGGTAAGAAAGGGTGACCTTGGGCAGTGGGGAATGATAGAGTGGGATATGAAGAGGGGGAAGAGGGACACAGGACTATCCCCTACTCTGCTCTGGGAATGCAGGGACAATGCTCCTTCCCACCCTCATTCCTTAAAACAAACACTCTGAAGCCCAGCCCCAGAAGCTGGAGTTGGCATTCAGGCTTGAAGGCCTCTGCCTTGTTCAGCAAATGACCCACAAGCCAGGGCCCTGAGCCCTCCGGGATCCTGCCCCAAGCAGTTGGGGTGGGCTACTGGTCCATGGGGTTAAGAAACCATTTCAGGGCCTCTGGGCCTTCCTGTCCCGGGTTACCTCTATAGACCTGGCCTAGGTCACAGGGCCTAGATTCAAACTCGGGTCCAAATACGTCACTCTTTCCACTATAGCTCGGTGCTTGGAGCTCCTTGGCCAAACAGTGTGTATTGGTTCGGCAAGTATCACTCAAGCTCTCTCTGAAACCCCTCCCCTCACACATGGGCCAGAGAGGAAGGCCAGTCGCTTCCCTTAACCAAGATACATACATGTGTGCATGTACATGTCACTATAGTTATTCGGGTACCATGTTCCAGGCCCCGACCTGGACATCTGTAGGACTCCTGACTCCCATCTGGCCCCCGCCTCATTTAGCCCTAGAATATTCATGACCTTCATTGTACTTTTCTCACTCTCCAACCACGGAGCTAAAAATAAGGTCTTTGAGGGGACATGGGGAGGGATTGAGTGATGTTGCCTCCCCCCTCTGAGATGGAACCCCCAAGGCCTCAGTGAACAAACACCACGGGGAAGTCTTAGCAAACTTGGAGGGGGTCATGGGACAAGGATCAAGAATAGAATCTCTGGGGATCAGTGTAGAGCCTGGTTGTCTTCCTTCTCTCCTTCCTTCTCCGTCCTTGCCCTCCATCCTCCTGTCTTTGCTGGGCCACGGGGTCCCATAGAACAAGATGTAGTTTCCCAAGGACTTTCTTCAGGGCCCACTCTGTGAGTTAGTAGTTAGTGCAAACATTATCGTCCTTAAAGGAAGGCCAAGGAAAAGGAATCCAAGACCCAATGATGGAGATTGACTTGTCTAGGGTCACACGATGTGTCCTGAGCAGAGCTGGAACATGATGCTCTTGACTCAAGCCAACTTTGTTTCTGCTGTACCTATGCTGGTGGTCATGGTCAAATAAGGCTTCTCTTGGAACACTTACCCAATGCCAGGAGGGTCTCCGTGCTTACCCTTCTGCCGAGAAGCCTTTTCCAATTCCCTGGGCTACTAAGACTATAACTGCCTTCCCTAAACTATCTCCTATCAGTTTGTATTTTTCTGGATGTATATATTTATGAGCATATAAATATAATATATTGTTATATGTTATACGTGTGCATGTGCATGTCTGTGTATAACACATATACACATGTATGGAATATTCAAAAAATCTGGAAGCTAATAATATTTAAGCTATCATTATATTATATATTATATTATAATATTACATATTATTGTATATATGATATATTATTAATTTATATAATTGATTAATGTAATTAATTATATGATTATACATGTAAATAAATATCTAAATTTTTATATAAATATATAAATGATTAATATAACATATTATTGCTTATTATATTATTAATAATAGTGATATTTAAGCTATTAAAAGCTTAAAATTACACTAAGACTTTTGGGATCTTACACACACACACACACACAATCTTACCTGATAATAATAATAGCTTACCTTTGTATAGCACTTTAAAGTTTGCAAAGCACTTCACAGGGATTGCCTCAGTGGATCCTCACAACAATCTTGTGGGGCAAGTGCTCCTGCTAACCCCGTTTTACAGATGAGGAAACTAAGGTTGAATGATTTGCCCAGGGTCATACGCACATCAAGCAAGAGTCAAATGCAGGATTGCCGGGTTTATTTCATTTTTGTCTTTGCGTATCTACAGTGCCTGGCACAGAGTAGGCATTTTATTTTTATTTATTTTTTTGTGGCAGTTTTTTTTTCTTTTTAGGCAATTGGGGTTAAGTGACTTGCCCAGGGTCACACAGCTAGTAAATGTCAAGTGTTTCGTCTGAGGCTGCATTTGAACTCAGGTCCTCCTGACTTCAGGGCCGGTGCTCCATCCACTGTGCCACCTAGCTGCCCCCAGAGTAGGCATTTTAGTAGATGCCTGTTGGTTGCTGTTCCACTGTCCTGTAGCTGCCTCCCTCGCTCTTGGATCTGCTGGGGTTAAGCATTGTCCTTTCCTGGTGTCTAGTCATAAAATCATCAGAACCACAGCTGGAGGGACCCTCAGAGAACACCTTCATTTTACAGACAGGGTAACTGAGACCCCAAGAGAAGTAACTTGCTTGAGGTCACATAATGAATCTTCTGCTGACAGAGTCCTTTGCCTAATAGTGGGGACATGAGTTAAAAATGACGGTTTCCCATCCTCGGGGAGCTGACTGCTTTTGGAGGGTGGAGCGTGGCATAGCTTCTGATAAGTATGGTACAAAGTAGGGAGTGATGATGGGCATAGGGGAGAGACCCAGAATGCTCTGGAAGGATACGAGGTGGGAGGATGTACTTTTGACTGGAGACCCCAGAGAAGGTGTCTTAGAGGAAGTGACACCTTTTAAAAGAAGTGGAGGGTGGTGCAGTGGATAGAGCTCCAGCCTTGGAGTCAGGAGGACCTGAGTTCAAATCGGGCCGCAGACACATACCACTCACTAGCTGGGTCACCCTGGGCAAGTCACTTAACCCCAATTGCCTCACCAAAAAAAAAAAAAAGTGGAGGGAGATTGTTGTAGCAGGAGGGGAGAGGACGACATTGTAGGGGGCCAGTCAGGCCTGGCTGAAACAGAAGAGTGATCAAATTGAGATGGGGCGAATGAAGTCAGGCTAGGGAGGTAGCTAGCTTTAAGGTTTGCCAAGCGCTTTACATAAATTATGCTGTTTGATCTTTGAAACAACTCTACAGGATGGGTCCTATTGTTGTCCCCATTTTACAGATGGGGATGACTGAGGCTGAGGGAGGTTGCGTGGTTTGCCTAGGTATCTAAAGCAGGAATTGACCTCAGGGCTTCCTGACTCCAGGTACAGGACTCTAGATACCTCTAAAAAGATTATGGAGAGCCTTAAATGCCAGGTAGCAAGGAGCATCACGGGGATTCAAACCCAGAGCCTCTGACTTCCACTGTGTCACATCCATCAGAAGGTCACTGGGAGGGGAGGGGTATGGCAAGCAGAAGGCAGCTTGGTATAGTGGGTAGAGAGCTGAACTTGGAAATCAGAAAGACCTGAGTTCAAATCCCACTTCTGAATGTTACCAGCTGCGTGGGCCTGGACCAGTCACTTAAACTCTAAGCCTCAGTTTCTTTATCTATTAAAGGGGGATAATAGCACTTACTAATGCTCTCAGTGCCTATCTGGCAGGATTATCTTGAGCCTCAAATGAGGTAATGCCCATAGAGGATTCCACAAAGCTTCAAGCCTTTGTCAGCTCCTGAGTGTGGAGATGATGCCAATTCCAAAACTGGGTTGAGGCCTCCGCCCTCTAATCTGGGCCAACCTGGGCTAAGAAGTTCTTCCTCAGAACTCAGCCCCAGCTCAGGGGGCAGGCCAAGAAAAAGGTAGTTCCCTCGCCTTGGGGGCCTAGCAGTTGGGCATCTGTCTGCCCTACCCCAAAAGTCTGGGTGAAAAACAGGTTGGAGTTGTTAGACCAGACTCTGGGTTGGGGGGGGCACAGGAGGGAGGTGGTCCTTGGGGTGCTGGTGGCAGGGAAGGTCATAACTCACCAGCTGTTGAAACAGGTCTGGCAGCATGGGGGGCGGGGAGGGGAGGAACTGAAGCCAACCAGCCAGTGAAGGCAGCCCGTGGGGTGCCAGCTACCTTCTAGGTGTGGGAGAGGCTCGAGGAGAGGAGAGACGAGAGGCCCATTGGCCCTCCATGCCATCCAGGGCACCTACGAAGAAGAACGTGCTGCCTACGGCTCGTTTGTACATATTGGTTGGTTTGCTGTCTCCACCAGTAGATCGTAAGGTCCTTGAAGGCAGGGATTATCTTTTGTCTCTTTTTATATTTGTAGGGCTTAGCACAGTGCCCTAAGCCATAGCAAGTGATTAATAAATGTCTGTCGAGTGACTGGTTGGGAGTGAGGCTTAAACCAAGCACGTGGGGGCCTTAGGCCTCGCTGGGCTCCTTGACCAGCGTCGGGCAGCCAGCAGGTTTGCCGCTTTCCAAAGGGGCAGGAAGATGCTCCCTCGCATCTCAGTCCTGTCCACTGTACCCTGAATCCACTGAACTCAGCCTTCGGGTGCTTCACAATCCTGAAACTGATGCCTTTGGTACTGGTGGAGGAGGTGGGCAGATCCTGGAGGCCAGAGTCCCAAACAAATGTCCAGGGCTCATTCCCTAGCTATTCCCTACACCCTCCACCCCGAAAGCCCCGCCCCCGGGTAGCCTCTTCCTCATGCAATATTTATGTATCTCCTCCTACGAGGTCACCCCCTTCACTAATTCCCAGTGCTCTCTGGAGCTATTGAGGGCTGTTCTGGATCCAGAGAGGTCTTATCTAAGAGTAGAAAGATTGGGTCAGGATTCCTGGATTCTTTCCTCATTCTTTCCTCTTTCTTCTCCCATGGTCAGATTTGCCCTGTTTTCTCTCTCTCTCTCTCTCTCTGTATGTTATTTCACCTCTCTGGGCCTCAGTTTTCTCATCTATAAAATGAGGAGATTGGACTAAATCACCTCAAAGATCCCTTTCAGCTCTAAGCCTTGTGGTCCTTTGACTTGCAATGTGTGTGATGGAGCAGTAGGTGTGGGGCTGGCTACTCCTTAACCCCTGAATGCCCATAAAGAGCTTTGATGCAGCTGCTAGGTTGGGGTGGAGACCCTCAGCCCTTTTATCCTGAATTTCCAAGAGCTGGGATGTTGGGGTGCTGGCTTAGCGAGATGGCTGATGAATCAAGGATTTGGCCCGGAGGTGTGGCCCTGCCCAGCCCAACTTCCTCCTCCCCAGCCAGGCCCCGGTGCCACAGCCTCCCTATACCAGCTGTCCTCAGGAGAGGCTGCAGTTTCTGGGGCCAGGTGACTCCCAGCTGAGGACAAAGGGACAGAAAGGGAGGTTGTGTGAGCCCAGGAGCCTTGGATCCATAACCTGGGAAGGAGTACGGAGAAGAGGCTTCTTGCCAGGAACCCCTGGGGATGGCTGGGCCTGGAAGGTGGGAAGGGGGCACAAATCGTTCTTTCCCCAACACCAAAAGCACCAGTGCCTGGATCCAGTTAGAAGGGTCATGGGTTCCCTCAGGCCCTGAGACTGGAGAAGAGTCTGGTACCCTGGACCTTAGACTCTAGCTATTTCAGCTGAACTAGACCAGGACAGCTGAGGCTTTTGTCCCAGGTACTGACATCTTAGGGGAAGGGTGGCCTTCATCCCTACTGGAGCCTCCAGGCCCTGTATCTAGAGCCTCTTGGTCTTCTGACAGCCCACACTACCGTGGGAGGGGAGTGGGAAGGGAAAGGCATCCTTCACAGAAGTCAAAGGAGGTCAAGAAAGCAGAGTCCATGTCAGGAGGAGCCGGGAGAGGAGGGCAATGGGACCAGCCACCCCTTTCCTCTCCATGAATGTACCCATGGTTCAACTGGCAGCTAGGTGGCACAGTGGATAGTGTTAGATTTGGAATCAGAAAGACCTGAGTTTGAATCATGCCTCAAACATTTACTTAGCCATGTGGGCAAGTGAACGTAACTCCCAGCCTCAATTTCCTCATTTGTAAAATGGGGATAAGAATAATTGTTTAATAATAATAATAATCATCTCAAGGATCTGATGAAATAACATGTGAAGTGCTTTGCAAACCTCAAAGTGCCATATAAATGCCAGCTATCATCCTCGTCCCCATGATGATGATGATGATGATGATGATAGGTGTCTCTCTGCCAAGGCCTGCTTGCTTTCATTTCATACTCTTGAGGGGGCACAGACTAGACTCTTCAGGAACTCGTCCCCCCTATCACCACCCAAATGAATTTGCCTCAAGTACCAGGATTCCCGGGGCAGCTCGGTGGTGCAGTGGATAGAGCACTGGGCCTGGAGTCAGGAAGACTCATCTTCCTGAGTTCAGATCTAGCCTCAGACACTCACTACCTGTGTGACCCTGGGGCAAGTCACTTAACCCTGTTTGCCTCAGTTTCCATTGTCTGTAAAATGAGCTGGAGAAGGAAATAGCAAACCACTCCAGTATCTTTGCCAGGAACATCCCAAATGAGGTCACAGAGAATCGGACGCCACTGAAATGACTCAAACGACAATAAACCAAGATGCCTAGTTACACCTCTAAATGCAACTAAACATTGATGAAATGCCTTCCATGTACTCAGGCCGCCTCCCAGCCCCCTCCTCTGGCTGATTTCCCCAGGAAACAGAGGTGCAGACAAAGGGAGAGGATTTGATTAGGGGCAGGAGTCCTCCAGCTTGAGGGTTGGCCGGGGGGGGGGTGTTAGATAGCCCTGGGGCTCCATCTCCACTCTTTTGCCCCACTCCTGATGACCAGCCCCCTCCCTGTTCTGTATCTTGCAGAGCTGAAGGCTAC